ATCTTGCTGTATTGCCAGGCTGGTCTTGAATTATTGGTCTCAAGTAACCCTCCTGCCTCGGCCTCCGAAAGTGCTGAGACTCCCGGTGTTTGCCACCACGCCTGGCCCTTAGTGTGTCATGCTAATACTATTTAAACTTAAAATATATGTTGTTTATCAGAAGTTCAAATTTAGTTTCAGGCTCTGAATTTCATCTGGCAACCCTACTTCATTCTCTTTGTGTTCCCCGTGGTGCGTGACCCCATGGCCTCCGACCCTCCGTGAAACGCTCTTCCTTCAGGTTGTATCACATGCATCACGCGCTTTTCCTTTTCTGCTCTTCTGCCTGCTTTGGTGACTTCCAGCCAGCGCAGGGATCATTAGAGTGCATCTCTCTGCCTCTGCTTTGATCTTGGTAACTTTCTCCTAGTCGGGGCCATCTATTTCTATCACTGAAATCAGTGGTTCTCAAAGTGGGATCCTGGAGTTGCGGCAGCAGCACCATCTGCAAACTACACAGAAATGCAAATTCTCAGGCCTACAGTAGCATCATAACTTCTGGAGCGGGCCCAGAAATCTGTGTTTTAAGAAGCCCTCTGGTGTTTCTGATGCAAGCGAAAGTTTTTAAGCCACTGGATAAAATGATCATTTCCATGCTGTTGCCTCCCAAATCTTTATGGCGAACCCTGACTTCATACCCAAACTTCTCTCTAGAATTTCAAGGTGGAGTATTTTGGGGAATGTTAATACATGAGAGGAGAAAAAAAAAGCTGTATGGTCAAAAAGAGCTTATATAGTATTGCAACATTTCTTAAAAGTATTTAAAGTGGTCAGGCGCAGTGGCTCATGCCTATAATCCCAACATTTTGGGAGGCCAAGGAGGGCAGATTGCTTCAGCTTAGGAGCTTGAGAACAGCCTGAGCAACATGGTGAAACCTCATCTCTACAAAAAAATTCAAAAATTACCTGGGTGCGGTGGTGTGCACCTGTAGTCCCAGCTACTCAGGAGTCTGAGGTGAGAGGATCACCTGAGTCCAGGAGGCTGAGGCTACAGTGAGCTGTGATTGTGCCACTGCACTCCAGCATGGGTGACAGAGTGAGACCCTGTCTCAAAGAAAAAAAAAAGAGCGTATGACTAAAGAGACCTATCTGCAGGAGCCTGTGGAAAAAGCAACAACAGAACTTTTCCAGCTGGATGGCTTCTTTGGAACCACAAAGTAGTCCCCCTTATCCGTAGTTTCGCTTTCTGAGGTTTCAGTTACCTGTGGTCAACCATGGTCCAAAACTATTCAATGGAAAATTCCAGAAATAAACAGTTGTTTTCAGTCGAGCGTGCCCTGGGTAGTGTGATGAAATCTTATGCCATCCTGCTCTGTCCCACCTGAGACATCAACCAGCATCACCTGGGAATTCAATAGAAATACAGATTCTTGGGCCCCACCCCAGACCTGCTAAATCCAGACCCTCTGGGGGAAGCCCAGCAATCTGTGTCTTCACACGTCCTCCAGGTGATTCTGATGCAGGCTGAAGTTTGAGAACCACTGACCCAGAGAATTAGTGTGGGGAATAAAAAGCCTTATAGCCCTTAGTACACAGGTGTGCACTATTTAAAAAGTGTGTGGTGGTTTCCTAAGGCGGCTGGTCGAGTCGGCCTCTCTCCCCTCCTCTGTAGTGTACACCAGAGAGGGACAGGTTGAGTGATTGCCACAGAGCATTCGTGTGGAGCCCATGCCCCATGCACTCAGAAGAGGCAACGTGATTTCGAAGGCTCCTCATAGAAGACTAGGGGCTCTGTAATAGTTAGGGTTTGGAATCCTTAGAAATTGGACTCATAATTAAATACTGCATCCCATCTATGTTTAAGTAATGCCACTTTTAAAACACTAAACCTAAACTGGGTGTGGTGGCTTATGCCTATAATCCCAGTACCCTGGGAGGCTGAAGTGGGAAGATTGATTGAGGTCAGGAGTTGGAGACCAGCCTGGGCAACATAATAAAACCCCATCTCTTAAAAAAATTATTTTTTAAAATTAGCTAGGTGTGATGATGATGTGTGCCTGTAGTCCTAGCTACTTGGGAGGCTGAGGTGGGAGGATTGCTTGAGCCCAGCAGGTTGAGGCTGAAGTGAACTATGATCAAGCCACTGCACTCCAGCCTGGGTGACAGAGGGAGACCCTGTTTCTAAAACAAAACAAAACAAAACATGCTAGACCTGTGCAGCCACTAAAATTTGCTTCCATATACTGGCAAATGTCATTATGACATGAGTAGAAAGGGTCAGGAGAGGGCGTGTTTGAATTTTAAACACCATTAGCACGTTGCCTGTGTCTCTTTGAGAACCTGGCACAGGGAACTCTTGGATCGCAGCGGATGTTGTGCAATAGCTCTTTGAACATTTCCTTCAGAAGTGGAAATGTCTCACGTAAAAAAGAGGAGGAACGTCCAGACAGATAGTGCAAACCTGATGTTCTGCACTTCCATCTGATCTAAATGGTGAATCCATGTTAGTCTAGATGACACAATACACATTTCAAACAGAGAATGCCATTAGAAAGTTGATTGATTTTGACATCATCACACGGACTAGTTTTTCTAGTGTATTGTGTTATACACATCTGGCACTTAGCAGTTGCTTGGTAAATATTTGCCATGGGAATGAATGAAATACAAACCCTCTTCCAAGGTTGGTAGCTCACCTAACAAAAGTGGTTCCCCCTGCAGAAGGGAGAGGGGGCTCAAAGAGAAGTGGCTGGCATGCCAGCACAGTTGGGGTGGAGAGAGTGGCTGGCCCATAGCCTCCATGATTACCACCTGGGTCGGGTGGGTAGGGAGCCCTGGACTGGAAACCAGAGCTCAGTGATTCTCCTGCTCCAGTGATTCGCTGACTTGGCCTCCCTTTTCATAGCCAGATGTCAGTGTAAGAACAGACCGCCCTCTGCTGGGCTAGAGAAAAACGTTAGATCTTAGAACAACTTTTTAAACATTTTCCACCATGACCCACAGTTAGAATACATTTTATTTTGTAAACCGGGAAAGACACCAACCAAAACATAATTGAAACAAAAGTTTCACAGCACAATAGTTACCTTACTACATGTGATGCACAATGGACTGTATTCTTGTCCGTGCTGTTCCATTAAAGAAAAATGTGGCACACTTACTGATTTCACAGTCCACTAGTGGGCTGAGACCACACAAGAATCCTGCGGGAAGGGATGGCCTTCAGGCCCTCCATCTCAGGGAACATCTGGGAAGGGAAGGGTGATCCTCCTTATGCCCACACCTGAAACATGTTTAAGACCCAGGAAAGTGTCATGTAAATCCTTGTTTTCTAGAATCTGAACAAGAGAGCTCAAAAGAGAGGTCTTTGCTTCTACATTTAGAATATTATACATAAGCCAGGTGTGGTGGCTCTTGCCTGTAATCCCAGTACTTTGGGAGGCTGAGGCAGGAGGATTGTTTGAGGCCAGGAGTTTGAGACCAGCCTGGGCAACACAGTAAGACCCCAACTTTACAAAAAATTAAAAAAGTAGCCAGGCACGGTGGTGCATCCCTGTAGTCCCGCCTACCCGGGAGGCTGAGGTGGGAGGATGGTTCGAACCCAGGAATTTCAGGTTACAGTGAGTTAGGATTGTGCCACTGCACTCCAGCCTGGGCAAGAGGATGAGATCCTGTCTCTAAAAAATAAAATAAAGTATTATATACGTCCCAATAAGGTTTTTTGCTGTGACCTTCCCTAGGGAGGTAGCCACTCCTGACTGCTCCAGAGAGGAGCTCCCATGCGCAGAAGGACTGTGGCAGCTGCTGTACTAAGTGCTACCAAGCAGACAGTTACGGAGGCTCAAGGCTGGCACCACCACTGTCGGAACCCCTACATCAGTGCTCCCCAAAGTATTTCTCACTCCATGAGATTTTACTAAGTGTTCTTGGGGAGGGAAGATGGGGAGTTGGTTCTGTGATAAAATAAGGAGATGTTGGTTGAGACAACTTCTGAGAGCCTCTGACATGCTATGTTGTGTTGTGTGTGTTCAATGTTTAGGGTGTGGTAGGGGGGACACAATGTGGTATTTTCCTACCATATTTAAACCCAGAACCATTTTTTCCAATAATCCCTGAACATCTGCAGAACACAGTTTAGGGAATGCTTCTTCCAGTGACTACAATCTGCTTCTTCCACTAGCAAGGAGAAAAAGCAAACTAGAGTCTTCATTCCTGCGCCAATTGTGGACTGGGCTGGGGACTGAGCTAGGGCTTTGGCAAAGAAAATTAGAAAGCAACAGAACTTTGAGTGCGTGTCAGGCAGACCATTGTTATTTATGTATTCATCTTTTGTAGTTTTAACTATTCAAAGGAGACTATGGTGGCCTGTGGCGGAAAGTAATTTAGACACTCACCGAAGCCATCCAAACTGTGGGCTGTGAAGCAGAGACATCAAGTCAGTGAATCAGCACAGTTGCCTCTCCAGCCTCCAAGTCTCAATGTGACTTTGTGTCTGTCATTACAACTCTGAAGTTATAGCATTTGTCACTTTTCTGGTATTTGTAGATTTGAAGATTCATGAAGGTCTCAGGACAAATTCCTCATAAAAATCAAGATCCTGTTGTAATTTAGGTTTGAATTTATCAATCTGAAAGCCCCAAAAAAGGTCCCATGTACAACCTGAAAGCTGTACCCTGCCCACATCTTGGGGGTGCCATTCATACAGAACATGGTGTCAGTGAAGCCCTTTGGAGCTGAGGGACAACAGTAACCCTCTAAAAATATTTTTGTTTTAAACTGTAAAAAACAAAACAAAGTTACAGAGTTGTTGATCAGAATGTCCTGTGAGTTCTCTTTCACTCCTGACTAAATGCATTGGCTGGTGTTTTTCAGTAAGGACAGCATCTTGGCTTGGGAGTCGGTGAGCAACTTAAACACTGGATTCAGACTCCAGCTCACCAGCTCCTGTTTGGGCAATCCGAGACTCACTTCCAAAACAGGAATGTTGATGACAGCACTCACCCCACCAAGCTGAGGTGAGATAAAGCATATTAAATAGCTCTTTACAAATGTCATTTGTAGTCACCAGAGAAAGCCATGTCCTGCTGAGCTCTCTACTCTCAAATGTTGATGCCCAAAGTTTGCCACCCCATGGCCAGTGGCACTGGGAAGGTCCCGTGGGCAGTGTTAAGGAGAAGTGGGTTGCAATACAGTTGCTTAATACTTCTGAAAGAGGGTTTTATTGTGCCTACACTTTATGATTTGCTGTGATCTGAAGAGGTGGGACCCCAAACACTGGAGTCTACCTAGAATTCCTTTTACTTCTAAAAGTTTTTGCAGCCATACATAGGTATTAAATCATTTCTTGGATCCAAACTGTCATTATCCTGGTTCCTTGTAGATGTACTGTTATATTTACATCCAAAACATAAAATACACTCATGATCTCAGAGGTGGCAGTTTTGGGGCCAGCATCTCTATGTATCACTTAACTGTAAAATGAACAAACATCCTTCCGAAGAGTAGGAGAATGAGGACTTCATGAAACCATCACACAGAGCACACTGTGAGATGTGGGATTTCGTGATGGTAAAATAGACATCCCTTAGGAGGTACTTGGGAAGGAAACTAGAAAGGTTGGCACAGTTACATTTCATACCTTGGTTAAATAAATCATGCGGTCTATTTCTTAACCAACTGGCACAACTGCCACCCTCTTTCCATTCTTCTTAACAGGATCTGTTCCTTACTTTCAGTCTTTATTTCTCTACACACCTGTTTTCCCCAAAGTCTTAGAACTGCGAGAGGAGCCTGGCTTGGCCATGCTGGTTACCCCGTTGTTTTCATGTTAGCGCTTGTCTCGGTGTAGCCTGCTGTGTCTCCTCCAGTGTCCCCTGCAACTTCCCCCGCAGTGTCCCTGCTTCTGTGTAAGCCTGTCGGCCTGGACTTCCTTGCCAGCAGCAGTTTACAGGCCGCCGCTCTGTACTTCTTTGAAATGAGGTTGTAGAGGATTGGGTTGATAGATGCGCTCAGATAGAAAAGTTGCAGAGCGACGATGTTAAAGTACTGAGAGAAGTACATCATCCGCAAATCTTCGGTGTTTATGTAAATGATTCTGCCAACGTGGAATGGCAACCAGCAAACTACGAATGCCAGAACCACCACCACTGCAATGTAAGACACAGCACCGGCATTAACAAAAGCATTGGGAAGCAAATAACCCTCCCACCCTCACAAGGAACCATCTGCAATAATAAGTAACAGCAAAATAAATTAGAGAAAACTTCTACCTGGCCAGATCCTCACCCCAGAAAAAAATGACCAGGCTGCAGGACATTTGCTTTAAAACTGCATAGTAGGTTCCTATACGTGTTATCAAGGCTGGACATAAACCAGAAGGAGCAATTTCTCTGAACAAGCCGCCTTGGCAGGCTTCCTTCCACAAACCCACTTCGGAGACAAGTTTTCTGTTCTCTGTTGAAAAGAATTCTACAACAGGTCTGCACAATCTTTACTTTTTGATATAAGCAAGGTTTACTTTAGCCTTCAGCATCACTTAACATTAAATAAAAATTTTTAGCTTAATGAAATCTCCCTCATCTTCTCAAGGGCACTGTGAGGACTCCTCATCTGTGGCATCTAACAGGTGGTTGGATTAAGAATTTCCAACTCTCCTTCCTGGTCTCAGAGGCTCTGGAAAAGCACTGCTGGTTACTGAATCGGATCCGGGGATTCCACCCTCAAAGCCCCCCTGGGGTCCCCCAGAGCTCCTGGGGGACAGGACATGGTTTTCTGGGGGTACAGGAAGTACGGGCGGGTGGAGGCTGGAATCGAAATGGGAAAGGGAACTGGAAGCGGCGCCCAGAGCTGGGCGAGCAGGGGAAGGGGACCCAGCATTTGGCGGCCCCCGGCGGGGTGGACCGCAGGCAGGCGTCTTTGGAACCGCGGTGGCTCCACTTACGCAGGACGCGGACGGTCTGCCGGTGGCCTCTCTCCCGCCCCGAGGCGGCCGGGCCTCGCAGCGGCCGCCGGCTGCTCCACAGCTCGCGCCCGATGAGCCCGTAGAGGATGCTGAGGCACAGAAAGGGCAGGAAGAAGTAGGCGGTGGTGACCCACAGCATGACACGCAGCGCACCCAGCTGCGCGGGGCTCGGCCGGCATTCGCGGCTGAACAGCGCCGCGGCCTCTGCGGTCTCGGGCCCCGACGGCGGGGACTGCGGTGGCGCCCGCGAGAGCCAGAGGGGCGGCGACGAGGCGGGAGGCGAGGGAGCGAGCCACGCGGTGCCATTGAGGCCCGGGACCACGGAGATGTCGGGGTCCTGCTCGACGCCCACCAGGAACAAGAAGGGCCCGGCAGAGAGCAGTGCCACCGCCCAGAGCACAGCGATGAGCGCGCGGACGCGGCGCCGGGTGACCAGGACGCGGGCGCGGAGCGGGCGACAGATGGCCAGGTAGCGCTCGACGCTGAGCGCCGTCATGTGCAGCAGCGTGGCGTAGGTGCAGCCCTCGCCCACGTAGAGCGACAGGCGGCAGAGCAGCGACCCGAACACCCAGGGCCGCGAGCGCCAGAGGCGGTACAGGTCGAAGGGCAACCCGAGCAGGATGAGTAGGTCGGACACTGCCATGCTGCCCAGGTACAAGTTGGTGGTGGTCCGCATGTCCCGGTAGCGCCCGATGAGCAGCACGGTCACCACGTTGCCGCTCACCCCGACGGCGAACAGGCCCAGGCACACGGCGGTCACCGGCACCAGCGCCCCCAGGGGAAAGGGCGAGCAGCGACGCTCGTCGCAAGGCGGCAGCGCGGCCCATGGCTGCTCCCGCGCGCTCTCGGGGCCGTCGCTGCTGTTCCAGCGGCTGCCCATGGGTGCTCCCAGCGGCCGTCGCGTCCCGGGTCGGGCTGGGAGCCTGGCGCGTGGTACCGCTCGGTGAGCGCCTCCTTTCCCAGCCCGCGCGCTGCGGGCGCGGACGGTCAGACGGCGGAGCGCTGTGCTGCGCTGTGCTGCGCTGTGCTGCGCTGTGCTGCGCTGTGCTGCGGCGCTCGGGACGCGGCTCTGCAGGGTGGGCACCGAGGCGCTCCCGAGCTGGCTGCGCGCAGTCTCCGCCCACGGCCGCGGCCCGCCCCGGCCCGGCCCTGCTCCCGCGCCCTCTCCCTGGCCCATGCAGTTCTAGGGCGCTTCGCTCTCCACCAGCTGGAATACCCGGCGCCCTGAGCGCACGAGCCCTACCCCGTCCTGTGAGCGATGTCTGCACCCTAGAGAGCTTCGGTTACTGGACCCAGCACTGTATGGGCGCTTTTGTCGGTCCGGTACACAAGAGACCTTCGAAGGGATCTTGGTCTGGTGGCTGGTAGCTGCCGCTTGATGGTGGAGGAGGGCTTACGGTAATCCTCAGGAAGCTATAATGCTAAATAATAGGAGGGAAGTCTAGACCAGAGTCTGGAGCCTCTCCTGTCTAATCCTGGCTCTATCACCGAGTAACTGCGTAATCTTGGGCCAGTTCTCTTCTGTAAATTCGCGAGTGGTGGAGGGAGCTGACCATATAATTGACCAAATAATTTCTTTTTTATTCTTTTTTCTTTCTTTCTTTATTTCTTCTTGAGACAGGGTCTCACTGTCGTCCAGGCTGGAGTGTAAGTGGCGCGATCACAGCTTACTGCAGCCTCGACCTCCCAGGCTCAAGCAGTCCTCCCACCTCAGCCTCCTGAGTAGCTGGGAGCACAGGAGCGCCCATGCGCCGGCTAAATTTTGTGTGTTTTTTTTTTTTTTTTTTGTATAGTCGGGGTTTCGCCATGTTGGCCAGCCTGGTCTCGAACTCCTCACCCCAGGTGATCCACCCGCCTCGACCTCCCAAAGTGCTGGGATTACAGGCGTGAGCCACCGTGCCCGGCCATGACCAGATAATTTCAAGGATCCGTGAGCATATTTATTTATTATAAAGAACAAGACAAATATTTACGTGGACACTAGAGTACTTTCACATGTGATATGTCGTTCTTATGTACAATATGTTTCATAAACTTAAAAAACTAGACTGTCAACACCGGAAAGAACGAAAATTGGGGAAAGGGGCTAAAACGGATGTAAGCGTCTGTTCAGTGTGGTCTTAATAACAATAGCTAACACTGAGAATTTAGATGGATCTGGCCCTGTGCTCTCCATTTAATCCTCATGGCCCTCCTTTCGCCTAAGAACAAAGCGGGTCTCGCTTGAGATCAAACAGGCAGTGAGAGGCGGGACTGGGATGCGGGCTCTGGTCGGCCTAATCTCAGAGCTTGCAAGACCGACGACCCACTCACTGCCCAGCTCCACCCGCTCAGTGGCTTAAATCCTCAACCTCTTTTCTGGACCTGACACCTGGCTTTGCCTAGGGACAAGCTTCTCCTGCAGTTCTCTCTCACATGCAGACTGTGAGTTTGGAGGAGGGACACCTGTCGCCTTCCTCATCGCTGCTGCTTCCAGCGGTCCTAAAACCTAGCTTTGAGTGCGACTTCATCAGACCCCGCCCTCCCCAGCGCTTTCCCCCGTGGTCATCTGCAGTCCCTGAGGACCAGGTGCCTGCACTCTCTTTCAAGCACTGCATCTGCGGCCGTTCACACCCATGGCGAGTCTTGGAATGCCTTGGCCTCTAGTTTGTTGACCTCCTTTCCACCTAGGACCTTGCTCTCCACCCGATCTCAGCCGCGCCTGTCGACGGACCTTACACCTCACGGCTGCCAGGGCCTGCCAGCCTTCCTCTACCTCCACTTCAGTCAGCCCTCTTTCCGACCTCCGCCCACTCTCTTTTTAGCTCTCTTCCCCTAGCACCTCAGTTCCGGTAATCCTTCAACCCACTGCGACCTCCATCGGTGGCTCCTCCTTCCTTTTCCCGGTCCCTTGCCTGCCCCATGTCTTCACTTTTCTTCCTTTACCCAGCGGAAATTCCACGGGCAGTCGCCATCACGCCCACACAGACGCCCTTGACTCCCTTGCTGTTTTCTCCATTGTCAGCCTCGTCCATCCGCCAAGAGCACCACAGCCCTGGTGAGGCCCAATTCCCTGCCCACTCCTTGCGGGCTCCCACATGGTGTTGTTTCACTTGAAAGCACAACCTCTAGCAGGGTGCTTCGTTCCCCCGGCCCTCCCAGCTCTCACCTGACCTCATTCACTCTCCCACCGCCAGGCTACTGGTTTATACCCCTCCTGTCTCCTTAGACCCAACACCCCCCACCACCTCCTTTGGGTGGTTTCCTTGCACCCTGTTTCTCTGAAGATGACTACCACACCCCCACCTCCGCTCATGCTCCCCTGGGACAGTTGGTGGTACTTGCAGTTGAAGTCAGCTCTGCCCCTTAAGTGCTCCTTTCTCCTCCAGATATCACTACCTCAATTCTCTCTCTCTCTCTCTCTCGTCATCAGTTTTTCTCTTCTGGATCATTTTCATGCAAAACTCCTCAAAATTGTTTCTGTACTCACGGTTTCCACTTTTTCTTCCTCCCTGTCTCCTCCCCCTAGGCAGAGAAAATGTAATTTCTTCATTTATAGTTGATTTGATTTTCCCCTGTGCTCTCAACAAGAGAAATGAATGCTCTAGCCCGGGTAAGGCATGGTCCAGGCAGACCAGTTAAGCAGCCCCTCTGGGCAGTGTTCAGTTCTCTCAGACATCACGCCTTTCCCCAAAGTGGCCCAGGTGTATGGGGAGAGGGGTCAGTGGCTTAAAGCTAGAGGGAGAGGTCCTTATGAAGCTTCATGCTGGCTCCTGGGGTGTGAGGGGCTGGCATTTGCTAGACTTCAGTTCCACGTCCCCTTCCTGCATGGTCACCAGTGGCTCTGCTAGCCTTGGAGGCAGGGGCCTGTGGTTGGTGAAGAGGTGGCTTCTTTCTTTCACTCAGATGATGCTTCCAGGAGCACTCTCCATGGCTGTCATGGGCTGCGAATTCCTGAGTCTCTTTGGTTTTTCCCATTTGCTCCTTGGCCAGATGGACTACCCCAGCCTCTGCTGAAGGCTCCCTTTTTCCCTTCCCCACCCACCATGGTGGCGCTGAGGCAGGCTCACTGTGTCTGCAGTCAGCATCCTGGCTGTTGTGAATTACTCACCTCCATTCAGGCACTCCCTCTCTCTATTGTATTTTCTCCATATTGCTTATTATCAACTGACATACTATTTAATTTACTTAGTTTTTTGTTTATTATCTATCTCTATCTCCCAACATTATGTGCACCAGAAGGCAGGGCTTTAATCTACTGTGTTCACTGCTGTTTCCTTAGTGCCTGGCACAAAGTGAGAATTTAATAAATATTTGGTAACTTGGAGAATGAATGAGCTTCTGCAGAACCAGGTACCACTGTTTTCTTTACAATTCCTAGCAGTTAAAACAGTGCTCTGATTGCAGTGGGTGCTCAGTAAGTATTCACTGAAACTTCAGCTGAAGACAGAATACTGATATGGAGAGGTGGGGACCCAGTGGGCTTTTTGGATAACATTGCTGTGCTGAGGTTCAAACAACATGGCCCATAGGACATATCTGAGCTCTTACGATGAGTTGGCATTCAATGTTTTAGGAAGGAATGGGACCAGATCTGTTTTCTACTTTGTGTTTCTGTAGACATTCACCAGCTTCCTGACTTCATAGTTCATCTAGTGAGAAGAAGTTCTCAGTAGACCAGGAGCATGGGCATCTCTCTTCTCTACTCTTGGAGTAACTCTCCGCCTGTAACTCATGTGGGGCAAGAGTGGGTCTAGGTTTGGCCCGGCTGTGGCCTGCATCCCCAGAGGCAAGAAGTTGGTGTCATCAATAGGCTTTTGGCCCCGGGCTAGAGGCCTCACTGGTTGGCTTTTGATGAATATAGAGGGATGACCTGGATGAATATAAAGCTAATGCTTGCTGTTTGCAAGGCACTGTTCCAAGTCCTTTCATATCTGAATGCATTTCATCCTCCACAGCAATCTAAGGCAGCAGGTTCTTTTAGTACCTCTATGTTAGAGACGAGAAGAGCAAAGCACAAAGAAGTGACCCCAGGTCGCTGGGACAGCCAGTAAGGGTGGTGCTGTCCACTTCCAGAGTCCATGGGCATAACCACTGCGCTGGGTAGCCTCTTGCTATATAGACCATGGCACCACCGGCTGCAGAGAATGCTAGGTTATGATCTGGAGTCTGCTAGGAAAGTGTCTTCCAGTTTGTATCTCAGAAACCAGATTTTATGGGCAAATTGAAGATCTGGAAAGTTGTGAGGAGCATTAAAATAGATCCATAACTTGTATAATAGCTTACTTATGGAAGCTTGTAAACACTCCACAGGCTTTACACTCTTCTCCCCACATAAGAGCAGGGCATGAAGTTTGTAGAGATGGGGTCTCCCTAGATTGTCCAGGATGCTCTTGAACTCCTGGTCTCAAGCAATCCACCCTCCTCTGCCTCCTAAAGTGCTGGGAATACAGGTGTGAGCCACCAAGCCTGGCCATTTCATAATGTTTTGAACCAACCTTTTACAATTGGGAAATTTCATGTAAAGTTCTGGATTGTTAGCATGATATCTTAGGCCTAGGCAGACCAAATTCTTTAGTAACTCCCAAGGACATCCATAAAATATTGCTGTAAACCAGACACATGCCGCAAGCTGAGAGGAGTGGTAACATCCAGGGAGGTGTGGGAGTTTGAGAAGGAAGCATTGTCTTGCAAAACTGGAAGCTGTGGCAGCTCTGAGCTCATGTTCCCCAAAGGCTGCCACCTGCAGCCTATAGGCTGGTGCCACTCTGCAGGCACCCCACAGCTGTCACCACACACAAGGTATTTGTGGCTTCACACTCAGCCCCTTCCTCATTCACAGGACCCACTGGGTCCTCTAGACCCCAGGCACCAGGAAATGGCATCTTTAGTAAAATGCAG